ATGTTGTTGCATTCAATGTTGTCCCAAAGGTCTCTGAGACTGTGCTCAATTCTTTTCATTCTTTTTTCTTTAATCTGCTCTGCAGTAGTCATTTCTATTATTTTATCTTCCAGGTCACTTATCCATTCTTTTGCCTCTGTTATTCTGCTATTGATTCCTTCTAGGGAATTTGTATTCATTTATTGTGTTGTTCATCATTGTTTTTTTGCTCTTTAGTTCTTCTAGGTCCTTGTTAAATGTTTCTTGTATTTTGTACATTTTATTTCTAAGATTTTGGGTCATCTTTACTATCATTCCTCTGAATTGTTTTTCAGAGGAATAGGTAGACTGCCTATTTCCTCGTCATTTGTTTGTTCTGGTGGGTTTTTACCTTGCTTCTTCATCTGCTGTGTTTTTTTCTGTCTTCTTATTTTGCTTAACTTACTGTGTTTGGGGTCTCTGTTTCACAGGCTGCAGGTTCCTAGGTCCCGTTGGTTTTGGTGTCTGTCCCCTGTGGGTAAGTTTGATTCAGTGGGTTTGTGTAGGCCTCCTGGTGGAGGGAGGTCGTGCCTGTGTTCTGTTGGATGAGGCTGGATTTTGTCTTTCTGGCAAGCAGTACCACGTCCAGTGGTGTGTTTTGGGATGTCTGTGACCTTATTATTTTAGGCAGCCTCTCTGCTAATGGGTGCGGTTGTGTTCCTGTCTTTCTGGTTGCTTGGCATAGCATGTCCATCACTGTAGCTTGCTGGTTGTTGAGTAGAGCTGGGTCTTAGCATTGAGATGAGATCTCTGGTAGAGCTTTCACTGTTTGATATTACATGGGGCTTGGAGGTCTATGGTGGACCAATGTCCTTCACTCAGCTCTCCCACCTCAGAGGCTCAGGCCTGACACCCGGCCAGAGCACCAAGACCCTGTCTGCCACACCACTCAGGAGCAAAGGGAGAAAATTAAAAAAGAAAAAGAGAAAAAAGTGAAATAATATAAAGGTATTTAAATAGAAAATAAAAAAATAATTATTATTAAAATTTTAAAAATAAAAAAAATAAATGAAAGAAGAGAGCAAGCAAACCAAAAAACAAATCGACCAATGGTAACAAGTGCTAAAAACTATACTAAGAAAAACACAAAACAAAAAACCCAAAAAGCGGACAGACAGAACCCTAGGACAAATGGCAAAAGCAAAGCTATGCAGACAAAATCACACAAAGGATCATACACGTACACACTCACCAAAAGAGAAAAAGGGTAAAAAAGTATATATATATATATAAAAATAAAGTAAGAGAGCAACCAAATCAATAAACAAATCTACCAGTGATAATAAGCTCTGAATACTAAAGTAAGATAATCATAAAACCAGAAACAAGTTAGTTGCAGAAAGGAAACCCCAAGTCTACAGTTGTTCCCAGAGTCCACTGCCTCAGTTTTGGGATGGTTCCTTTTCTATTCAGCTATTACACAGATGCAGGGTACATCAAGTTGATTGTGGATATTTAATCCACTGCTCCTGAGGCTGCTGGGAGAAATTTCCCTTTGTCTTCCTTGTTCATACAGCTCCTGGGGTTCAGCTTTGGCCCCGCCTCTGCATGTAGGTCACCTGAGGGTATCTGTTCCCAGCACAGACAGGACGGGGTTAAAGGAGCAGCCAATTAGGGGGCTCTGGCTCATTCACGCTGTGGGGAGGGAGGGGTATGGAATGCGGGGTAAGCCTGCAGTGGCAGAGGCTGGCATAACCTTGCAACAGCCTGAGGCACGCCGTGTGTTCTCCCGGGGAAGTTGTCCCTGGATCAGGGGACCCTGGCAGTGGCGGGCTGCAAAGACTCCCTGGAGGGGAGGTGTGGATAGTGACCTGTGCTTGTACACAGGCTTTTTGGCAGCTGCAGCAGCAACCTTAGCGTTTCATGCCGTCTCTGGTGTCTGCACTGATAGCCATGGTTCGCGCCTGTCTCTGTAGCTCATTTAGGTGGTGTTCTGAATCCCCTCTCCTTGCGCACCCTGAAATAGTGGTCTCTTGCCTCCTAGGCAGGTCCAGACTTTTCCCCGGACTCCCTTCTGGCTTTCTGTGGTGCATTAGCCCCCTTCAGGCTGTGTTCATGCAGCCAACCCCAGTCCTCTCTCTGGGATCTGACCTCCAAAGCTGGAGCCTCAGCTCCCAGCCCCCACCCGCCCTGGCAGGTGAGCAGACAAGCCTCTCAGGCTGGTGAATGCTGGTCAGCACCGATCCTCTGTGCAGGAATCTCTCCGCTTTGCCCTCTGCACCCCTGTTGCTGTGCTCTCCTCCATGGCTCCGAAGCGTCCCCCCAGCCACCCGCCGTCTCCGCCCATGAAGGGGCTTCCTAGTGTGTGGAAACCTTTCCTCCTTCCCTCCCACTGGTGCACGTTCCGTCCCTATTCTTTTGTCTCTGTTTATTCTTTTTTCTCTTGCCCTACCCAGGTATGTGGGGAGTTTCTTGCCTTCTGGGAAGTCTGAGGTCTTCTGCCAGCATTCAGTAGGTGTTCTGTAGGAGTTGTTTCACATGTAGATGTATTTTTGATGTATTTGTGGAGAGGAAGGTGATCTCCATGTCTTACTCCTCCTCCATCTTATAGGTCTCCTCTCAAACATGTAATTTACTTAACTTCTTGGACACTCCAATTTCTCATCTGTAAGTTGAGAATGAGCGTTCATTTTTAAAATCTATATTCTTTCTCATTCCTAGAAGGATTATACTGGATGTGACTTACAAAAATACAGACGATCTATTAGTGTAAAATCAATAGTTTAGGAAATCAAAGAGAAAATTAGGAAATGAAAAGAAAATAAAACTAGGGAAATAATTTATGCTAAAAGAAGACAAGACAAACAACAAAGCTCATGCTCTAAGGTTCTATAAAGTTGTTATTGTTAGATCAGAAATTCTTCTGTGTGCTTTATAACTTCCAAAAGAAAAGGAAAATACAATTGTATATGAGATGTAGTATACTACAATAAAATCACACCAATTGTTCAGGAGAATCATAGGTATTCCTGAAATGTCTCTCATTGTTCTTTGGAATGTGAACAGTTGGAATAGGGGTGACAGCATATTCTGCAGCTCCCCTCCAACCTCAGAGATGCTGCAAAGCATGCCAGTGGCATAATGCAAGCTGTTCAGTATGCTTAGAACATGGAAGAAGTGATGTATGTTTTTGTTGGGAAATTTCATCCCCTTTGACACCATTTTAAAGGAATGTCATTAAAAAAAGTATTTTTAATTGGTTTAAAACATGTATAATGGACATTTTATCATCTGTGCTTTGTAAAAAGATGAGTATGTCAGATTTTGTAAAAAGAAAAGATGGTCCGCTGTTACAAGTTATAGCCCGATCCTCATTATAAAATATTTTTATTATGCATTTGAACTCCCTTTTCATTACTCTCCGTTCATTAAAGTTTATAATGTATTATGATAGTGTTATTATGAAAAGCAAGCCTCGCATGTTATTTTTCTGGGAAGAAAACAAACTTTTTTGGGTTGTTAAACATTTTCTTTTTAAAATAGTTTTTAACATCATATGTAAAAAAATATTTGAACCTTTTTTCCTTTAGGTATCTCTTTGCATTCTTATTTGTTCTCTGTCATTTTTGACAAATTTAAGACACAAATAAGAGATAGCCAGTGTTACCAGAGCAAAATAGCACTTCTTCTGACTACAAACTAGTGATGTTTTGTGGTCTAGCACAGCTGATAAATTAGGTGCTGTTGTAGGGTTCAGCTAGAGCAAATGGAAATAATTTATCAGAAAAACAAAGAAAATGAAACACTGAATCACCACAATTTTTTCTAGATTAGAGAATCAATCAAAAGCTCTAGAAGTAACTTGAGTTTAACAGCAGGATTCTGTATGTTTAACAATTATGTAGTGCATTTATTTTGAAATATTTATGGCCCTTATTTTATTTGAACTTTAATAATGTAAGAACCCCCAAAATATTAAATACAGCCCTATCTCTTAAAAAGGAAAAACAATTTACATCTCTCAAAAAGTAAAACAAAAAAAGTAGTTGACACACTGAAAATGTTGATGTTTAAAATACTAGCTTAGGAAAACATATTGTCTTGATTTGGGGATTTATTTTGTTTATGTCAGATAAGCAATGATATAGCACAATTTTAATATTTAGTTGAAATATTTATGAAGAACCATCAGTACATACCTCACTGATTTTTATACATCTCCCCCAATATCTATAATACCATATATAGAATACTCAGTAATATTCTGGATCATTCTTAGCAAATGATTAAGAAGACTGATTGGTATTATTGAAATTGAAGCCATTAAACACTATTTTAGAAAAAAAAAACGTGAGTGAATTAATTTTGATGAGAATGATGATAGAGAAGCTGATAAAAATGTTACAAAAATGAAAGCCCTAAATAGGAAAGAAGAATTTACTTTGCCTTATTTTAATTAATTGATCTATACCTCCTTCATTTGAGTCTCATGTCTAGAAAAAACACTGAAATAACTTAAAATTGATATAGAACCTTAAAACTTAGATTTATTGTAATTTTTACCAGCCAATAATTACTTTAAATTGTTTTACTATTTTATAGTTTGCTATGCTATTTACTATCTTTCCACTCATTTCATCTTTTCAAAAAACCTATCTTTAATTTATCAGCATTTTGAAATTATGCAATTTAAATTATTCAAACTGAAAAATATTTTTGATTTCAGAAATGAGCAAATAGAGAGGTTATTAATAATGGATAATTAGAGCTTTCTGGCTAAAGAAGTAGCTTTTCAAATGAAGAGCCATTATAATATGTAACTTTTATAGTGGTTTCTCTCACCATTTAAGTTCTTTTGCCTTTTAACTGCTGAAATAAATCAATAAAATATTAATCCAGTTGAACAGGGAAAATGGGATTAAAACTTGTTTATAATATATATATTCAGTCTTTATAAGTAAATATGGCTATTTTTGTATCTATGTTTTCCCTCTGAATGAAGTTATGTTCATTTATTGCTACTTATTATTTTCTTCATTCAGGTTATTTCACAGTTGAGGATCTTGGGCAGATCAGTAACAGCTGGTAGCAAATTTGATAGAGAAATCTGGTCTAATGAACTTTCTCCTGTCCTCAATCTCTGGAAGAAATTAAACCAGGTTAGTAGTGGAATATTCTTCCTTTGTTTTCCCTTTTTTCTCCCTATCCTTTTTTTCCAGTTTTATCCCCAAATTGTCCATGTTGGTAAATATGTTGGTAAATTTTTGCATGGATCTGCCCTCAATGTATACAGTATCCTGGAAAAAGATGGAGGAAATAAAAGTAATAGAAGATCAGCCCAAGAAGCAGTGTTACCGTGTAATTTGTCTTATCCTGGTAATGTACTATGACGTCCTCTATGTCTGATACATATTTTGCTCACTCCTTGTCTTCTCTCGCCTCTTTCTGTAAAGTCAGTGACTGCTGTTAAAGGTGAAATTTTTCAAAGGAATCCAAGTGCTAAGGAAAAGCAATTCATCAACTGGAGTTGACTTGTTTCTATATTGTAAAGTAGTTACAGATTATAGATGGTTGCTTGCTCACTAGGCAAAACCATTACAGTATTATGATTACTATTCTAATTGAATAAGAACTTACTTTCTGGAATTAAAAATATATAATTTTACAATTCATATGTTTAGTAATACTATAAAAATGCTTATATATCACATAGCCTTCTTCAGTAAGGGAAGTCAAATTAGGCTTATTTAAGAACCTATGAAAAAGGTTAAAACTCTCTAAAAATTCAAAATCCTCAAACCTTATAGTATTGTAATTTCGAGTTATTCTGACTTAGTGTCGACAATTGGTGATTGTCAGGAGTCTGAATAAACAATGATCTCAAGTAACTGGAATTGCCACTTTATTTAGACCATCAGATTGATAAAGCTTTATATAGGTAGCTTGAGGAAAAATTAGAGAATGAAAAGAAATACTACATCCCTTAGCATCCCAAACCCGTGCTCTCCCGCTTATGCCTGGTCATATAAGTAATCAAATTGTACAGATCCCTTTCTATGAAATCATGGCCTGATTTCCATTCTTCATGTCAATTCATATTGAAGTTGTTATTCTTTACCTTCTTTTTTCTTAAACTAACCTTTGCATATCTTTAAATTAATAACCCAGTTTACACAAATTTATTGAGGAAAGTTGCTGTTAATCTGCTTCTTATTTCTCTGTAACTCATTTGGTTTTTTCCTGTAGAATATTTTGTCTCTGATCTCCCTAAATTTCACCATAATAAATACAGGTGTGGATTTTGTTATGTTTTGTTTTGCATCTATTCGTTTGATACTCTGAGACCCTGCAATTCCAAAAGCCAGCCTTCCCAGCTATACCTGTTGCAGTTTGATCCCCACATTAGCTGGGCTGCATGCTGTGAAATATCAAGTACTCTGCTGTCTATGGCAGGTGCTTGATACTGCTATTTTTCAGTCCTAAAATGTTGACATAGTGGGCAATGTTCCATCCAGGGCAATATGAAAAGATAAGTTTGCAACCAGGAGCTCTCCTAGCCTGGCTCCAGCCATGGCATCCAGCCCTCAGCTGTAGGTTACCATATTCTCCACTTACAAGTACCCAAACGTTTCTGTCTCCCAGATGTTTCCCATTCTTTTGGTGCCATCTTCTGGGTTCAGTATCCTCTTGTTTTGTCAAAGACAGGATTCAGAAGTGGGAGGTAGTTTGACATTTTGACCAGAAACAAACATAACTTTTTAAACTTCATTTTAACTTTTATTTGTAAGATAGATATAGATTCATTAAAAGGTTATCATTATATTATATTCATAGTAGTCAAATTAATCTGTCAAATATCTTGCACTTCATCCTGTTGTAATGTTTTGTTCTTTATCTCTCCCATTTCCTTCCTGAAGCTATTGCCATAATGTAGCCTTCTTTCTCATATGGATTATTGCAGAAAACACCAAATTTGACTCTCCTTATAATATATACTTCCTCCAAGTCATATTTCAGATCATCATCACATTAATTTTCCTAAAGAAAATCATTTTTCACACCATGGCTCCATATCCAACCTGACTTGTAAGCCTCTTCCATAGTAAGGTAGCTCTCAGTGATTCCATCTGTGAGGACTTTCCAAATGCAATTTCTTTCTTCCAGAATCTCCTAGCTATGCTAAACCAGTAATGGGCAAAGTGCCAACATCTTTCAGAAGGCTCTCAGCTGTTACTCATTTCCCTCTTCATGTTTCTATAGTACAAACTTATAAATCACATAACCATAAAAGTTATATTTTAAACTAAGCAAGTTAATATATGGTGCTTAGGAATAAGAATTCTCTTATTTTGGGGTAGCTTTAAAATTTATGCATATAAATATTTCAAATAAACTAATGTCACATTTCTGTTTTAGAATTTTTCCATAATTATTTTTATCACTTCTGAACTTTTTAAAAAATTTTTCTTTTGTAAAAAAGGAGTAATAATCTTTTCTCTGCATTCATTTGTTCATTTACTTCATTCATCAAATATCTATTGATGTGTCTGCTATATGCTTGGCACTGTGCTAGATGCTGATTTATTAAGAGATGATAACAATACACAAAAATATAGGTATTACAGTGGTCTTTGGGAACCAAAATGAGGGAGTGTTAAATTTTGCTAAGAGGAAGTCAGAGGAGGTTACATTATGAGTAAGAAATTCTTTAGAGGGACTTCCCTGGTGGGCTGGTGGTAAAAACTCCACCTTCCAATGCAGGGGATGCAGGTTTGATCCCTGGTCGGGGAACTAAGATGCCACATGCGGCAGGGAAGCTAAATCCGTGCACCTCAACTAGAGAGCTCGCATGCCACACACTACAGAGCCCATGTACTCTGGAGCTCGCATGCCACAACTAGAGAGAGAAAACCTGCATGCCATAACTAGAGAGAAGCCCACATGCCACAACGAAGAGCCTGCGCGCCACAATAAAAAGATGCCACATGCTGTGATGAAGATCCCACATGCCACAACGGAGACCCAACTCAGCCAAAAATATAAATAAATAAATAAATAAAATATTTTTTAAAATGCTTTAGATTAAAAAAAGAGGTTACATGATGAGCAAGAAATTCTCTAGTTAAAAAAGAGTGTATGATATTTCAGAGAGAGAGAAAAGTCTGCCATGTTTGTTATTCTAACCTGACTGGAGTAAAGAATGCTTTGAATAGAATGGCTAGACATAAGAGCAAAAAAATTTAGTAGGACCAGGTTGGAAAGGTTTAATGTCATGAGGAGTGATTATAATTTATCCTGTAGGCAGTGGGGATGCAATGCTAATAAGAAGGTGGGAAGGTGATATGTAAAGATCTGTGTTTTATAAAGGCAAAACTGATGATGGTGTAAGCAGTGGATACTAGAGGCCTGAAAACCAATTTAGAGGAAGTTACAATGTTCTAAGAGCAAAATCGTGGGAACCTTATTGAATATGGTGACAATGTGAATATAAAGTAAGAGAAGAGTCAAAGATATTTCAAAAGTAAAACCAGTCTTCAAAGGATGATTGTATGGATCTAATAAAAAAATAGATGGAACACTATTTGTCAAACATAAACTCTTTATGGATTAAGTCTTTTGTATCTTTATTTCTTTAAAGATTTGTAGATTTTTAAAGTTTAGTATAACAAGCCCTAGTAGTATTGATGACGTTGCCACATTCAAGATATTTTATTAATTTAACCTTTCATGCTTGAAGGTTAAATTGTCAAAATTTTTAGTGACTGTATTAGTGATTATATCTTTTTCAGGGAAATATATATACAAATGTGTAATTAAAACTTTTAACATTATTTTGTATTAACTGTTAATTCATATGTTATTATATCATCTTTTAAGTAGTTTAGATGCATAATTTAGTAACATCTCATATTTTGTGACATTTTTCTTGGGATTTCCACTGGAAAACTTAGTACTTTGTAAAACAATAATTTAAAAAGCAAAATGCTAAAAAGTATAACACATGAACAATCTAATGTCATTTAATATTCTGCACATATACATTCAAAAGGTCAGTTCATGCTTTAAAATTTTTATTATATACCAGCTCACCAAGCAGTTTTTAATATCTGGTTGATGGTGATAACAACTGATGAGAATTACTGACATTCTAACCAATTTACATCTCCTTCATATAACTTGAGAACTTCCATTAATTCCCATATGATAAAAGGTACATGTAAAACTGTCTCTTTTAGGCTGATAGAATTTGTTGAGCAAAAAATAGGTGACAGATTTTTTTCTGAGCAAGAATTGAACTGGTTGACCCAGTAACTATTTTTATTATTTCTTTCTTCAGGTTCATAAGTAGATTTGTATATCTGTTAAATTATACTTGTAAATTCAGAATACCTTAATTTCAAAAGAATGCATTGAAATAGAATTAAATGAAATTTAAATCTAGAGTGCCAGGATAAACAATTAATAGGACTAGTACTTTCTTATGTTTTTGAACTAAAAATTTAAATATCATTAAAATTGATTAGTTTCATATTATGTTTGAGAATGTGTATTCTGCTCTGTTGACTGCTATTCTCAAATTATATTCTTTAGATCAAGTTTTTTAAATGTTTCATTCACAAATCATAATATATAATAGTTTTTCTCTATCAATTTTTGAATTATACAAGTTCAGAATGCCACTCTTCTTGATATATTGAACCACTTATCATAGTAATTCCCTTTAACTCTTATAATGTTGCTCCTATTTTTCTGGTATTAATAAATCTGTATCAGCTTTTGTTTAGTTATATTTGTTAGATATATCCTATTTCATACTTTCAACATTTAAATCAATTTTTATGGGTGTATCTTATAAAGAGCCTATAGCTGGATTTTGTTTGATCTTTAGTTGGAACATTTAGTCTATTTACATTAATCTAGTTTACTATATTATTATATGTTATGTTTTGTATTTTTTCTACTTTTTTTTTACTTCTTTCTTGTCTTCTTTTGGACTATTTTCTCTAATATATTGCTCTCTTAGTTTACAGATTATATATCTTTTCTACTTTTTAGTGGTATCCTAGATATTTTATTGTACATACATAGATAACGCAAGTTAAACAATATATTTGCCTACCTGGCAGATAATTCAAGCTTAAGACGTTATACCCAACTT